TGGGGGGTGTATGCATGTGTCTAAAAAAAAAAAAAAATGATGCTTCTAAGAGACATACCTGTTTACAAACTATGAAAAAATAATAGCATACCCTAATCCTGACTAACTGTTGCTTTTAAATGTCTTGGCTGGAGTTTTCATTTCTGAAATGGGAGGATAGTCAAAAGTTAAGAGTATGATTTACTCAGGTGATATTCTCTCAAAATTTGGGTTCAGAAGCAGCATTAATATAGATGTGCAGTACAGTATGTTCTTCTAATAATGACAGTGCTATTGTCATCCATCTATACTTCTGGTTCTTCTCTTTTTCCAGACTGTCTACAAAGCCTGGCTCTGTTCCCAGTATTTTGAAGTCACACAGTTTCACTGCAGCAACAGAATTCCTTGCAAGCAATACTGTTTGGAGGTTCAGACGAGGTGTCCCTTTATATTACCAGACAATGATGATGTCATCTATGGAGGACTATCAAGTTTCATCTGTACAGGTATAGTATAGAAAAGCTAATTTCTATTGTTTTCATGGGTCTCAGTGTGAAAGAGAATGTGGATAATGTTTCTTCCTTTAGTTCTAACTATGAGAGCCTAAAGATATTGCTCATCACAATGATTTGTCTGAGGTTCTAGGATCTGAGCTCAGACTTAGTAATGCACATTTACGCTACAGCTTGACACATTAACTTTACAAAATAAAATTACTAGAAGAAATTTGTTCTGGTTATTTTTTACAATTAATAATTTGGTGGATGATTTTTGTTGCTGTGTCATGCAATACTCAGAGAAAAGAAGCTCTGTGTCATGCAATATTTAGAAAAGAAGAGAAAGGCAAGTCCAGATTTTAGTATATTCACTTTTGCTCACCTGCATTCTTACGTCAGATAAATGAAGAATCTGAAGCATAACTTTCAAAACTCTGCAGCAGCTCTTGGAACTAAATATCTAAAGAAATGCCTTTTTCTAGTGAAGAATTTTAAGAATCAGTTGTTCACCTGTGAAAAATTGCTCTTTTGGTCTCTTCTTGAGTCTTGTTACATTCTGTATGCATTTTAATTTGAAAAGGTATTGCTAATATAGGTCTACACACTGATTGATAAAATAGTTTGGTTCCTTTTACATTCCATTCTGCTTCAAACACTATCCCAGGACGATCCAACCAGAGAGGACATGGTAGGCAAGAAATACCTTTAGTACCTCTCAGATACCTCAGATACTTTTTTCAGGACTGGCTGGGAGTCATCCACACAAAAGTCCGGTTTATACCAAAGTTATCTGCAGACCTCTGTGTGTGTACGTATATACACGTGGGTGCGTACTTACACACATACACAATGGCAAAGAACAAACAAACAAACAAACAAACAAAAAACCATCTTTGTAATTATTTCAGAAAATCTCTTAGGAAATACATATCCACCTCTTCATTCTCCTAGTATATCTCCAAGTCCAAATTCATTCCTAAACCACACGAAATACAGATGACTTTGCAAATATTACTGACAGTCGATATCTCTTGAGCTTGGGATGAAAAGCAGATTTAGGGGAGGATTAAACTCATTTTATTGAAGGTATTAGTAGTGTGGGTATCTACACATAAACTCTGTGAGTAAGCTCTCACTACAGTCACTGAAGGTCTGGTATAGTCAGTAGAGCTGAGAGTTATTTAATTCAGCCTAAATAGGCACCTGCACCTGATTAGCTGACTAGCTCTCTATGCCCCACTAACATTGCTGGATTCATTCTAGTTGCTGTAGCTGCTCTTAGTCACCAAGGTCTTATTGCAGACATTTAAATTCAGGGTGACCTGAATGTCATCTCAACAGTCCACTGGCTAATATTTGGTTGAAACAAAACCCTCAGCATAAGCAGAGCAGACCTTGTATTCACAGACCCGTAGGAGTCAGCATGCTGACACTAGGCAGTTGTGTGCAAGTGGAGATGCTGAGGAGACATACAAGACTCAAACTTTGTCTGGAATAAAGACCTATTGCCACCCTGTTATTAATCAGCAGCTCACTGTAAGAGCACTTCCTGACACTAAACAATGAGAAATTAATATCTACTGTACGACTAAAGAATTACACTTCTCTGCAGCTTAACAAAAACAGAATTGCTTTGTGCAAAGTACAGTAAATTTAACAGCAGACGAAACACTCTACCTCAGCATAGTTTGTGGCTTGACAGTTAACTTGAACTCCTTTTGTAGAGAAACAACTAAAAGCAGGTTACCACAGCTTCTCCTGCTGCACTTTCTGTGAGCTCCTGTCTGGCAGACATGTTCTGAGATTTCTAGTTACTGATCCTGTTCTTCCTGGGGTGAGAGAAATTCATGTCAAAACCCCGAAGAGTCAGGTCAAAGGTATTTCTATTTGGTATTTAGGTGTTATAGCTGGTTGTCTGGAATCTACATTTGACTTAAGTTTACTATGAAGCTGGTTACCATTAAGCTCTGCTGCAGGAAACACAGCAGGACCAAACTTTATGTTCGGGGATCCCTCACAAACATTTTGCAACAGCCCATCACTCATTTAAATTAGGCTTTAATATCTCTGCTGCTCCTGACTCTGATGGTATCTCATGGAGAGCAATCTTACAGGTCCTTTTTTTAAACTTTGACTTACATTTTCAGAGAAATCCAGCAGGAACTGAATTGGGTTATATTGATATGGTATTTTTTCCTCCATGAAACTAATGAAAGAGTATCTGGCTAGCTAAGGAACACTGTTAATTATAAAGTATTGTCTGGAGAAAAAAAAAGGAGCTGCTCTGCTTATAGGATGATTTATCTCTGAAAAACATCAAGAATTTGTGGTTTCTGATTTTCTCTAATAATATTTTAGAAGCAATAGTTCTATAAGGGCTTCCCTTCCTCCTTTCCATGGTAACAGACTATTTCCTCTAAAGTCTAGTAGAGATTTAGGTTAATGGAAAGACAGAGGATTGATTTGTATAAAACATTTCAGTGTGGAAGGCAAGTAACAGGAAAAGGTGTACCAGTGATAGCTGGTGGTGTTTGATGTTGACTACAGCACAGATTGGGATGTACATATAAACATTACAGGCAGTTTTCTATTTGCAAATAGGCTAGAGACTGGTGTGGTTTCATGTCACCGGTGGTGGTACCAAGCTGCTTCCTCCCTTTGACATTCCTGTCCCACCACAACAGTGAGCAGGGGCATGGAGACATCTCTGCAACCAGGGGCACAACAGCACCAGTGGACAGAGAAACTATATACTTTTTTTTTTTTCCCTTTCAGGGAAGGATTTTTTTAAAAAAAAAAAAAAAAAAAAAAAAAAAAAAGGTTTTATCCTTCCGTGGAAGGTCCACATGATGAGTAAAGAGCATAAGGCTGTCTATTTTCTCCCAATAAATTTTGCAGACTTTGTTATATTTGACACCGTTACATTATTTTTTTTTTTAAAATGGTGTAGTTTATAATACGGTTTAATAATGACTTCTTGGAAATTCCTGAAGGACTGATATATTGAGTAAGAAATATTCTAATCTAAGAATATCTTACTTGGTTACCTTCAGTGCAAGTAGATATTGGGAGAATGAGAAGGGATGCTACACTAGTTGTATATCACCAGAACATGTCTTTTGTAGAAATGTATGTGAGAAAGTGGGACAACTGCAGTGCAAAAGAAAGTACTTGGGAGATTAAAACAATCAGAATCACAGTGCAGTTCTGATTATGGAAACACGCAGCTAGCTAGAAAGAAGTTTGTCTTCCCCTCTCTGCCCTTTCTTCTAGGAAACAGAAGGAAAGAAGTCAGTCTTTCCATCAGATGCTGTTCTGGAACATGCTGGTTTTCATATTCATTAAAATTGAATGGTTGCTTTCAGTTTAGACCTTTGGTGTTTATATCCATAGGATTAAAGTTCCCAGTGCTTTCATCTAATGTTTCTTTCTGCAACTCAGATGTCTAGAATTTCCCATGCAAAACAGAATCTTATTTAAGGGAGATAATAATAGATAAGAATACATACACACACAGCAGATTACGATAAATCAGTCCCATACAAATTTCCAGGTCAAGGTTTTTAATTGTGACTCCTGTGAAAACAGTGTGCATACCAGTGGGATTTTTTTCTTTCATAGATGTCATATTTTTCTTTTTCTTCTCCACTGTGAGTGGAAGATAGGGAAGATTTCTTTCACACATGGTCTTTGAGTGTCAAAAGAGATCTGATGTATGACTCTACGTGCAGAACACTGGGAAGAGACTGTTAATAATGCACAATTCCTGTTTTTCCCATGCCTTTCAAAGTAATGTGGTCCAGCAGCTGGCCTGGGGACGGGTCCAGCCCATGAACTGTTTCTCCCAACGGAGACAGAGAGAGGATGCAGAGGCCATAAATGTTTTCTTCACAGCCAAAACTATTCAGGCCTGCAGTTTGCTCAACCCAGAAAACATGAGAGCCCAGTTTCCACCAAATGAGCAGCAGAGATGCCCAAAGAGAGGGGAGAAGAGATCATGGCTTCCCTGCACACATGGGCCTTTCCCGAGTAGCCAGGATATGCCATCAACAGCAACACTGCAGTTACATCTACGTTAGCAATCTAGTTCAGTAGTATACTTTTGAAGCAAATCTCCTGTTCATACTCATTGTTGTTTGACTTGCACTGGGGACAGGTCTTGGAGGATACAAATTGGATTCCTTTGGATTAAACTGAACTAGGAGATGTGCTACAGGACCATACTTAGTACATCCCAACCATTAATGCACATTTGGTCTACAGAATTAAACTCGAGCTAGAGCAAGGTAAAAACACTTCAAATGCATTTAGGGTTGATGCAGACAGCTATTTCATTATACAGATCTCCTCTTGTCCAAAACTACTTGTTAACACAGACATGGCCTGTTCTGGCTGCTGGGACAACAGTCCCAAAACTGCTATCCATGTGTTAAGTTTGGACCACTTTAGAGTGCAGAATTAAGGCTAGCTGTGTTGCTAAGGGCTTTCTTTGTATTGACCAAGACTTATGGTCTCTTTGTGCCTTGTGTCATAGCAGGGCCATCACCCAGCAGCAAGTATCAACCATGAAATCTCAGCCACCTGCCCCCACTCTTTACAATAAATGTCTTGGAATTTAATGGAGCACTTAAGTTCCTCTGTGAAGGAAAGGAAGGGAATGTAGTAGCAGCAATAATACAGAGATGTGTGGCATTAACTTCTTCCAAAACCAGCATGGCACCCTCTGGTACTTCTTAAGACCAGTATCATCAGAACAAGTCTTCTGCCATCAGGAGGAGAATCAGATTTCTCTACTGCCCTGTGCTGAACAGACTTCTGATACTTTGAAATGTAGGAGAAAGCAAGGGGAGAGAAGATGTAAGCAGGCAGGTGATTCAGGTGCTTTGAATGATTTATATCTTTCCATTCAGTTTGTATTTAGGCTCCTAACTTCATGTGTTCCAACTAACATCTCAGTTGCTTGGGACACATAGTGTGAATATTCTCCCATACATTAATTTTTGGCAAAT